AACTTTTGGAAAGGTAGAAGGGGCTGGTTGCTCTTCCTACTATAAAAAAATATATAGAATATATAATAAAGCATTCTAAAAAGTAACAAAAAGCATTGCCGCAACGCTTACTTTTAATATAAAATTATTAAAGATACATTCTTAAAAAATATATGCATTAGCAGTACATTAAAAAAGCTGCAGCTGTGAGATATTCTAAGAACGCAAGATGTAATAAAAAACTTATAAAGTATTTTATCAAGATAAGGATAATGTTTCTAAAATCATTATATATAGAGAATTATATTTAGAATTATATAACAATCATATAGTCTCTTGCTCTTCATCTGCAGCTTTGCATAAATTAATCAGGTCAAATATCATATACAAATTGAAAAATAAACACAAAAAGTGCCCAGTGCAAAGGTTACACATAAATTGTGTTTACCTTTCGATGTGATCCACATATATTTACCATCCTCCTCCTGCTTTCTCTTTTTTTTTCTCTCGTCATCATGGCTTCTGTATCGAGAACCGAGGTCTTCAAGAATGCTAGGAAAATCCTGTTCGTTATAAACAAATGGAGGATATTTGGAACCTGATTTAAGTCGCGCTGCCTCCTCTTCCTTTTGCTGTCGCTTCCTAGTTTCCAGAATCTCGTAATGTATTTGATGTAGAATGAATCTATTCCAGCTCTAATACAAAATTCAAACATAAAAATAATCTTTGCGTTAATGTGTTATCAATTCAAAATTTTTAAATATTCTACGTATATCATGCAATTAATCGTACAATTTAATTTCTTGTTTTTTAAATTTATGCTAAATGTTTAGCAAAAATGCATATTTTTAAAAATGTTTAAAAATTTTTAAACATTTATGCATCTAATAATGGATAATTTAAAAATTTGAAATCCTATTTTAATGAAGACATATTTCGGAAACTCATTCTTTCTAAACACAAGTTATTAAAATATAATTATGATTTGCACATTTTTATGCTGAACTCTGTTATCATACTTGTATGAGTACAATCAGATTGATCTTTTTCTTGGATTCCGGATCGTTCAGTATAAGTCCTAAAGCTGACGCTTCCCGTACAGTCCTAAAAGCTCTAAGAAAATTCGCAGCTTGGCAAGGTAATCCACGTGATGTGTCCAGCATATGAAACAAGAATCCCAATTCGCAAGAAAGACAAAACTCTCGTTGGCACGAGTGTGAGAGCAATGCTATCCTTACAGGTTCGCAGTAGTAAAGCAACTGTAAAGTATGAACGTACGCGTCTGATTCGTAACTTATTTTTCGTTGTGCCGACTCATCTCGGGCACTATAGTTTTCTTACGCTTACCTGCAGCATAGCATTGCAATAACTGTTGGGGAGTGTAGCTTCCAGGCCGCAAAAGCTGGTTCGATTGTACTGATCGAAATCAAAATCGTCGTAACCAAGTCGTGAGTATTTCAACTCGATTTTACGATAACGTTTAGGTATGGCTACAAAGGTGCCGTCATCTGTTTTAGACCGTGAGTCCCCCGCGAAAGATTTCGCGACTAAGCCCCATCGTTTTTCCAGATTGTACGGTATCTGCAAAAGAGGTATTATTTATTTTTGTTTCACTGAAAACGCATCGGACATTTTCCGTCACGATATAATAATTTCTGTCTTATAGAATTCGTGACACACGAGTTAACGAGACACAATTTTTATAGTTTAATGCATATATATATATATATATATATAGAGAGAGAGAGAGAGCAGAATTTGGTATTGTAGAAAAATAAATAATACTATTAGAACGCGCTCT